CAATAAAATGTCTTTTAAAGGATATGTATTATTAAATTTAATTTTACTTAATTTATTAGTTTTTTTCTGTGTCCTTTTTATTATGTAAGATACCCTTTTCTGCCCTGTTATCCTCCATTTTACTATATGTAGATGATATATTCCTTTATACTCCTATATTTTTAGAAAAGTTTTTTAGTTGTAAATGGGCAGAATACCTTTGTTTTATTGATTTTTATGTGGTGCTGAGGATTGAACCCAGTGCCACACACACACACTAGCCAAGCACTCTACCACTGAGCCACAACCACAGCACCTGTCTGTATTTTTAAAGATTTGCTTTTCATGTTTGTTTGAAATTCATCTGGAATTTATTTTATATATGAGATTTAAAAAAAAAGTCTAATTTAACTTTTTCTACATGAACATTTAGTCCAGGAACCATTTGTTGGATAATTGGTGCAGCTATGTCACATGTCAAGGTTCTGTGCTTAGGTCTATTTCTAGGTTCTTTTGCTGGGGGTACTGGGTATTGAACGTGTGGGCACTTGACCACTGAACCACATCCCCAGCCCTATTTTGTATTTTATTTAGAGACAGGGTCTCACTGAGTTGCTTAGCATCTCGCTTTTGCCAAGGCTGTCTTTGAACTCACAAACCTTCTGCCTCAGCCTCCCAAACCGCTGAGATTATGGGAGTGCACCACTGCGTCTGGCTATTTCTGGGCTCGTTCTGTTCCATTTCATTTTTAAAATTTTCTATCCCTACTCTAATTCCAGGCTGTCTTCCTTTACTGTATTCCATAATGAAACCTATTATCTAGTAGAAGTAGTGTACCCACTTTGTTTCTTAAAATTGCCCTGGCTATTACTTAACCCCTTGCTTTTGCAAATGAATTATATAATCAGTGCATTAAATGACAGACACAAATGCTGTGTTGCCATTTTTATTGAAACAGAATCAAATATATAGATCAATTTTGAGAAGATTAACATTATTATGATATTGAATCCTACTATCCAGGAACATGACATATTTTTCCATTTATTGGTATTTATTATAAATTTTTGTTCATTAAAGTTTTAGAATTTCTCCATAAGGTCTTGTACATATTTCATATTATTGTTAAAATTTATTCTGGAAGTTGTGCATTTTATTGCTATTATAGATGATATATATATTTAATATTTAGTTTTTAGTTTTAGGTGGACTCAATATCTTTATTTTATTTTTAC